GTTCTCCGCAATCGAAAATATATATTATAGAGAAAAATAAATCTTTGATAATGCGATAAAGGAAAGGTGCAGCCTCTGCATGACATTAAAAATGAATTTCATTAAGTTACATAGTTTCATTTCATTAATCGCAAAAGTTTTTAATAATTAAAAACTATTTATAGACTTATCAAGCGTTTGTACATTGCTAACTAAGGGTTTTCATTTGCAACAAACATTTTTCTATTTTCGTAAACCGAGAAACGCTAATGTTTCATTTCCTGTGCGGAATCACGCAATTGTCGAGTCAAAGAAAGGATAAAATCGTTCTTTCTCACATATGCGACTATCCACTTTCCGAAACGAAGTGAAGGACTGTTAAGTGTCTCGGACGAAGCGATCGGACTTTCGCATCGTCGAAGGATCAAAGTCATGTCCGCGTCGCGCGACGCGAGAACAATGACGATCGGAATGGAATTCCAGAACGGAAAGTCCCTGTAATTGGAAATCTCTCTCTTCCTATCCTTCCGTCTCTCTTTTCTCTCGCCGTTATACAGAGTCGATGTGAAGCTGCGGGACGGCGATCGATAGTTCCTTGACACCCGTGGGAAAATCGGATACGAGAGCCCTGTGACGCTTTCACAGCGAGAAAGGACCCGCTCGGACAAGAATCTAATACGCGAGAAGGATAAGCACGATGAAAAAGAAGAATTAGTCCGGTTTTATTCTCGTGAAGATATTACGAAGACAGAACAAAGAGTTTATCCGCAGATTTTTCTTCCGGTATTATCATTCCCATAACCAAGGGGGTTCTCTTCTCTCAGGTTTTCCCTTTACGATTTATAATTAACGTAATTAACGTGAGGCTTTCTTCTCATTGCGCATTACACAAATTCCACGTAAATCTACCTGCGCTGTGAGTGACGGTGAAAAATCGCGACCGTTCCGGAAGCATTCACGAAACGTTGCGCTTCGCTCACATTAGCCTCTTTGCAGAAGGCCCAAATCCGTTAAACGTTTTAATTAACTCGCGGGTTTGAACGATGTGATTTAAACGGCCGGTGAGAAACCGCATTTCGCATCACTGCGTAACACAGACAAAAAAATGTAAAATTATCACGAGGTGCTGAATTAGCGAGATATTTCAAGATATTTCAACGGTCTCGCAGCTGAGAGCATTCGTTTCAAAGGAGCTTGGCATGCAAAAATTAAGACTCGATAAACGTTTAATAATTATGTACGATCAATTCGTTAAACAAAAAAATAAGGTAAATCAATTCGATCGGATCACATCACATACGATTTGAACTAAGCTCGTCTTTGAGAATAATGTGACTCAATAGACAAGCATATCGTCGTCGTCAAATGTATAATCATGCTAAGCAAAGGAACTAAGATCTCTAGCGATTCTTCGATGGCATATCTACATATCGAAAGGCCTTCCAAAGGGAAACTTCACCGATAGAATTCGTAACGAACCTTCACGTTGTCGTCTCGCGATCGAAGACTCGCTTCGTTTCGTGTCTCGCTACCGCGAAGTCCTGTCCGCAGGGTAATTAGATTCCGTCGAGTGAGATCAAAGTCTACCGCCATTTCCATCCCCGCGAAAAGCTTCGCTTCCTGAAGTTTCTCGGCGTGGTCGTTTTTCTTCTGGCGGCGAACTCTCGGAGAGCGTGTCGCCGAACTTTTTCGACGACGAGATCGCGACGGAATCTCATGCAGCGGATATAATCAATAAGAACGGAAGTACTCGTGCAATTGTTTCTATTGTAGTATTCCAAGAGGAATCATGAAACCTTTATAAGCACCTTCAATTTTATTCAAAATTCAATATACTTTAAAAAAAATTAACTCAACGATTATATACAACTTTTATACAAAAAAAAAAATCTTTGCTGAAATGTTTTTTAATACGAAAAATATATATGCGTTGGAAACTATGCTCCTAAAAATCTAACAAAAATTAATTATTAATAATAGAAAATATGTTAATGATTTACTTTTTCTGTATCAATAAATATAGTTACGTCCTATCCTGTTTTTTTATAAAGACTACATTTCGGTCATTTAAATAAACAAATGTAAAGAAGACAAGATATAACTTCAAAAATGTTTTCTTCTTAAGAAAATTAATGCGCGATGGAGGAACATTTCAATTCCGAAGCAGAGTTCGAGACATTGTGAAGTACGGATTAAGAAAAGGAAAGAAGACAGACGAACCAATATCCGAGGGCACAGAACGCTTTTACACCTTTTTCATCATAAATGTCTCGAGATAAACGTTCTACGGCGACTCGTCGTACATGTCGCGGCCGTCCGTCGTCTGGTGCAGCCGTTCCGCCGACAGGGGGGATCCTTGTGTCAGGAATTCATAACAGAGTCATAATTGCGGGACGGGTCCCGCAGTATGCATAATCCCGTAGTTAACAGTTCTGCTTAACGATCCGCGAGAAGCAATCCTGACGTACCTGCCATGCCATAGGATGAAGGCGTCCCGGCCGACCCGTCTCTTATTACCGCCCTTGCATTCCATCTCGCTTTCTCTTTCTCTCTCTTTCTCGTCATCTTCGTAGCACAGGGACCGTGTCTAAGCTATACATACATAGAAAAGCGAGGGCACGTACTACAGAGTACCGCGTACGTACGACTGGCAAAACCGTAAAGTTTGAGTGGGACGTAACAAAAACCTATAAAGGATAAAGAGTAGGGGGTGCAAGATGAGGATGGTCGTATCTTCGCACTGAAAGAACGAAAGAAAGACGAAAAAGGAAGAGAGTTCGTTAATTACAATCCCTCTGCTTGCCACCGCTCACCGCAAGCGACCGCGAAGAGGATCGTAGAGAGGAAAACACGAGGACTCGTGGCAATATCGCGTTCGGACAACGGGCACCATCGTGGATCATGGAAATACCGAGGCAAATATTGTCACTCTTTACGATAGAAACAAAACTTCCCTTGTCTCATCAAAACACAAGTTTTAACCGATTGACGAAGAACGATTTCCTTTGTTATGTTAATTAATGAATCAATCAATTATTATCACATATAAGATCTGTTTTTTATCATTGCATTGAATTGCACTAAAATTTTTTTTCGCTTCCGCTTTACTTCACACATATGTCTATTTTTTTTAGTACACTGAAAATGCAATAATCAACTATAAAGAAGTCCTATAATATAACAAAATATGCATAGTTTTGAATGCGATATGATTGATATAGTGCGATATGATTGATTAAATGTGTTTTTAACAAAACTATTTAAATATTATTATTTTTATAGATATTTCTGCGTGTTTGAATGATTATAAATTATAATAGACCTACAACAATTTTATTGATGTAATTTTTATGACAGAGATAGAATAAAAAACCAAATAAAAAGATAAAAATTAATAGAAACACAGAATAACAAAATTGATATACTTAAATAAAACATGTTAAACGAATTCAATTTACACGACGTACATTACGTGCCCCTTTCACTTTTGGAAGAGTTTATCTGTATAAACAGCAGAAAAATGTATCCGGAGGACAATGGCCAATTAGAGAAACGATGTTGGGTGGATGTTTTGATTCTATCGGAGATAAATGCGTTAGAGTATGCGCGAATGAGTGAGCGCTACATTTGTCTGTTTTGTTTCGTCAGCGAGATGCCATCTCGCGAACGCGTCGACACGAATAACGAAGCACCCTTAATTTGACTCCGTAATTAATTATACACCCGTTGTTTCCGTAGCGGGAGCATCGGGCAACGGGTTTGAAAAATTTGTTATAACTCGTGTCGACGTGCTCGTGAACGTTACTCACGTTACGCACGTATTCATTGCGTGCGAGCGTAACTTGTCATAATCATAGTTCAGAGTTTCGCTACCCCTACAATTATTTCGATTCGCACGTGGCGTGTCGCGACTGTCTATCGAATTATCTCGCACCAGTGGCTGATCTGAACCGACTAATTTATCGACAGCCACGATACACACCGACCCGGTGAATTATTACGTATACACAGTTGCATCAACTCACTCACCCGTGTGCGTCCTTTGATGGGCCTTGAGATGCGAGCTCTTGGTATACACCTTCTTGCATCCGGGGAATTGGCATTTGTGTATCCTGCGTTTCGTGTCAGGCGGACTGTGCTCGTTGCTCCTCGCGTGATGCCTGTTGGCCACGGTGGTCGTGGCCGCGGTCGCACCCGCGTGCGCGTGTTGCGTGCCGGCTACCGCAGGAAAGCCGTTCGCCGTGACGGAGATCAGTCTGCAAAAACGCGATTTGTTTCCTCTCATTGGCTCTGTTTTAGCCTCGTTGTAATTAGTCCGTTGCGCGCTGCCGAAGCGCGACATCCGTGAAACGGTCTCGTGCGTATTCACGGTTCGCCAGCCTCGATGAATTTACTGCGCGCGAAGTAGCAAGTAGCGTGATCGGTAGAATGTTAAGTAATCGGCGCACGTCTCGCGCTTCAAAAGAAATGCGAGCGAATCGAGAAGAGCGCAATTCCGCCGACGGGTTAATGATGGATCGCGAGAGCGAATTGTTTTAAGTTTCTTATCCAGCGTAGCGAGAATGTTCCGAAGCTACTTCCCGACAATGTCGACTTTTTTAACGAGCCTCCGCCTCTTTTTTTTTGTAAATTCCGTAGAAAATTGCCGGGAACGAATTGGATGGAATAAGATCGACCCGGAAAGTACGACCACTTTATGTTGAGGAACGTCAGTTACAGTTAATCAAGATAATTTCCGAGCAAGACGTAACTATACAGCACACCCGTCTTTCATAGGGCAAGTATTGCATTAGCCGTTTGCCTCTTTCAATTCTAAAGGCAATTAAGTTTTCATTAAGTAAAAATAGCAACAATGAGATAAAAGAGTCAAAGAAGAAGCCGTTGATCCGGAAGTAAACGTTTCTTTTGCGATCTTCATCACGTAACGTGAGAGGAAAGATGTGTACCATCGTTCGAGAAGGCAAGTACATGAATTTTACGACATTTACCTTGCGACACCTTGCGCGTTCCCGGTGGTAACCCTGACGATAGCACTCCTTCCGCCTGTGCCATGAAGGTTGAGATTGTGCACGTCGAGCATCGAACTCCCACTCGACGAGTGACTGGAGTTGGAATGACCTTGACCCGACCCGGGACTCGACGGTGGCGTCAGGATTTGACCTTCGCTTTCGCACCCGCTATCCTCCTCCTCCTCGATCTCCTATAGCGGGTAAAATTATGCGCGTTATGCAACAAAATTACGATTACTAACGTAATGGAATTAATGCATGATCCATGAATCCTAGGGATCGTATCGACTTGAACGGATTATGACAGACAAATAAACCAGCAAGAATGAAAAGATTGAATCGCGATCTTACAAACTCGTTACGTCCAGTCTCGTTGTGCCAGTGCAATATCATGCGCCGTATTAAATCACAAATTATATTCCCCGAGGTAGTGACTTTACTCAGATCAGATTCGAAAAATGATTGCAAAAATATTTATCTTCACAAAAAAATATATATTTATAATAAATAAGGCAAACACTATTATATTTGCAATTTTCGAACCTTTAGGCTCGGAATTAAAGTTTAAAATTTAAAAAATTCAGTTTTAGAGAATATTTTCAGAAAATAAAAACCGATAAAAATTTTCCAACAAAAGTTTTGTAAAAATTTACGGAAAATATTTCATTAAATTATTATTTTAAAATATGAATGAAAAAACATATTTTTAATCTTATAATAAATTAAATTATAACTTTTTTCATCAAGTTTAAATTTCTACAGTTAATTGTTAATTGTTAATTCTAAATAAACGTCATTAATCGAAATCGCAAAGTATACATAAAATACCTCATGCTCCTCATCCTCTTCAAGATCCTCGCTTGGTTCTTTTTTAAGAATGAGTGCTGTGCAAGAAAGGGAGGGTGAACTGTCCCAGGACAATGCTGAACACGCCGAACTCGTTGAGGACATCGATAAGGAGTCGAGGTGACGATCAAGAAGATCCCTATCACGGCCATTGTCATTATGATCGCCAGGACTGAATTTGATGTCGTCCAGACAGAGGGGATCCCTTTCGTCTGACGTCGTCACCTGATTAATAAAAAAAAAACGCGTTTCAATTTTTTAAAATAAAATTAATCTTTTCTCTCAAAAGATCGAAAGAAGAGATAATAAAGTTATCGATATTATATTGAATATACGAAGGTATATAAGGAATAATAAATAAAAATAAAGATTGCTTATATAAAATATATATAAAAGTTTGAAGTATCGTATTTGACACAACTCGATAATAGGAAAATTAATGGAGGGGGTTTGTAAGTATCCTCTGATTACGCACCTCCATTTTGATTGGGGCGTCGAATTGTGCACTCGTTCCAGTGGACGTCGTCCACGAGATCGATGGTGCCCTGAAGAGGTTCCAGGGCGCTGTGTCCAGTTCTGTAGGGAGTTTTTTGTACGATTGTAGCTTCGGCTCGTCCTTCAGGTACCTCTCCATCTCGTAGCATGTCTGAAAGAGGAAACAAGAGAGCTTGTTAGGAGTCTGAAGCGACTTAAATATCTCGGCGAGCCACTCACGCTGAAATGGTGGCAATGGATGGTACTGTGGCTTAAATTTAATGACCATAAAAGAGAAGGAAAAGGGAGAAAACTGATTATGATCAAATGATATATATTATTTTAACAGCAATTGGTCTTTCACAATTTTATGTAAAAAAGAATATTTGATGCAAGAAAATTTTTTGCAAAGAAAATATATATCTAACTAACAATAAATTGTTAGACTAACACACAATTTAATTTAAACGTAATGTTTGTTGAATTAAATATAATTTAATCTAATTTTACAATTGAAGCTGGTAAATTATATTAAATTATATTAATCAAAAGAAAATTCAGAGAATGCGAAAATATTTCCATTAGACAAATTATAAATTGCATGTATGCATAATGCATAATGTAAAGTCGAAATATTTTCTTGTCGTAGTAATCGTAATCGTATTTAATCTGCTGGTAACATAAGAGACATCTGCGGCGATCGCAAGTCCGCAAATGCTACAGAAATTATCTTTAGGAGTCAAGCATCCCATATGGGAAAGTACATTGCCGTCAACGCAACTACTCGCGAGTTTGCAAAGTTGATGCTCTCCCGTAGGCTGTGCCAGTTTGGTACAGTTCCTTGGAGAGAGTACAAAGTTATGCTACTCACTGCGAGGAATTATGCACCAACTATACATAAATGAGATTATAGCACCCCATTCTGGCTAAGTCTCCTTTAGGTCCTTCGTCGTGTCGACTTCTCTTTAAACGAACGCTTCGCAGCACGGCGAATAATCATGAAATAATAACTGCGCCAAGTTTCGATCTTAATATGTGTCATGCATATAAGCTTTATCCCCTTTCTTAGTTACTTTCACCTATTTAAATAATTACAATCTTAATGTTATTCTGCATTTCTGCATTTCATTATATTTGCATAGACGATATTTATATCTGCAATTCATATAATTGATAATTTCTTTTTTTCGTTGTATTATCATTATATCGTTATATCGACAATAGTTATCGCATCGAAATAATTTCTTTTAGTAAGTTTCAGTACTTATTAGCAATGGTAATTACTGAAAGCAGCACTACATCTTGCGAAAGTAAATTATGCCAGTATTGAACAGCCATATTATTCTTCTTTTCGTTTGAAAACTAAAAATAATAGCTGACGCAAGCATTCTTTGTGCACTTCGGTATCTTCCTTCGGGCATTGTCTGCCAATTTATTATTCGCTCTAACGGTTACCATCGGGAGCGACGGTTTTGTCTGACGCTATTACAAATGAAGCTATTCGCCTTCTATAAAGCTACTTTAAGAACATTTGTTACATACCGACGTTGGTAGCGGCATGATATGATCCATCGAAAAATATGTTCTTAACATCATGGCGACCACATGTCTTAATAAACAGCCCTTGTGCAGCAGATAATTAATTTACGATGTCCACGCGTGCTTTTTAAAAATAAAATTTAAAGAGGAAAGTTCCTACGATCTATCTTGTGTCAAGCCTTTAATAAAACTGTGCAGAATTTAAGTGAATTAGGAAATGTTTTGCACTAAATAAATCGACTTTTAAAACCGCAGCTGTAAAACTAAAAGGGGAAGTGCGCAGGGCTCTCTTGATTATCTTTAATACCATAATTTACGGTAAGTACGGTAAGTCTAGAATCAAACAACGAGCACGAAGTCAAGTCTATTTTCCTGCCTGACAAAGATTCTTCGGAAACTGCAAAAAATGGCTTTGCGCCGAAGTTCGAGGGCTGTGTCTAATGCCGCCGGTCCCTTCTGCGAGAAAAATAATCGCCGCCGGGCTCCTTCATTATTCACGATTAAAGTTCGTCCGGGGGCACCGTGGGTACGACTAACGGCGTTAATATAACTTGGAAAGGAATTTTATCACTCGCTTAGGGACCGTTTCTCCTTCCCCGGGGCTTGCTCCGGCATCAACTGAACTTTACTAATCCTGACCTCCGAGGCACAGCTCTATATATAGACACGACCGATCTATTCCGACTTAATCTGTCAGAAAATCTTGGAGGAAAACAACGTTAATCGTCGTTGCAAATGGAACAATATTAATGCATTCGAAGTCACGTGAATATTGATCGATTCTATTTTATTTTATTTTAGAGATGTAAGTATGTCTAATATCTAAATAATGAAATGTTCTAGTTATACATTTTTTTTAATATAAAGCAGAGGTTAATAAAATAAATAAAAAAATAGAAAGAGAGAGAGAGAGAGAGAGAGAGAGAGAGAGAGAGAAACTAAAATTAA